CTCTCTCTCTCTCTCTCTCTCTCTCTCTCTCTACCAGGGCGTGCGTCTATGTTAATATCACTCTTTGAAGTCTGTAGATGTTGTTTTGCTTGGTTGCTGACAATGGCATCCATCTCCTTGTTGTAGGTATTGCCTCGTCGTGAAGGTAAACCGCCACAAAATCTTTTCCCCCTTTTTCGCACCACATACATTATTGACAATTTGGATCCTTAGGTAGGTAGGTAGGTAGGTAGGGTTTTTGCGCATGGAGTTTACATACAAATGAGGTTTTTGCGTATGGTGTTCACCCAAACGATGAGCACTTTTTGCGTATGGTGTTCTTGCAGCTGGAAGATCATTTTACACATACTTGCATGTATGCGTTTGATAGAGAAAGCGAGCAAATACCCCATTTGTAGCGAGTTAGTGCGATAAAGGGATTTGTGGGGAAACCACGGGAAGAGGTAAAGAGAACCGCATAGGAACTGGGGGCAAGGAGAGAAATATTGGAATGAGGTCAACTCTCTTCTGACCAATCTCTTGCAACGACCTTTTCCTTTTAATAACACCAACTTTTACCATCGATTCTTTACCCAATTCATCAGCTACTTTATCGTCAACCTTTCATGTTTACAAATTTTACTTCACCACATTCTTAAACCGGACACGAAGCAGGCCCAGGCCGAGTTGACTTGGCAAATCCAGCTGTGTTTGGAAAAAAAGGCTATCTTAAAACTATAAAAATTAGAGAATATATCAAAATTCCCATAAGAAATGCACTAATAATATTTTTTTAACTTTTTGAGTTCATAATCATCATCTTTCATGGGTGTTTTGGAATAAAAATAACAGTAAAATGTTTATAGTTCATATCTCAATACGCCTTTTCATGTTCTCGTCTTTGTGTAGCTCGAGTATTTTGATAAATGTCCCTAAGAAGTAATTAAAATTGCAAAAGACATTAATGAAATTAAAAAAAAAAAAAGCTATCAGTGACGACAAAAATCTTTGGCACGTAGACTTTCATCCACCAGTGCCATAAAAATTTACTTCCTATTTGTCAGAATACAGGCTATATCTAGGTTAAAGGAGAACCAGATACATGTAGACTGGATTATTTCGAAGATTTACGAAATATCTCCAGTTTTACAGTGAAAAAGTTAATTCTAAAAATAAATTTGGAATGGAATGGTTACTTTTGATTCGTGCAGGGACTGACAGAGAAGTTCAAGGACAAGGACACCACTTTCACGGGCAACGCTCGCTTCGCTTACGAAGATTTCATGCTCAGTGTCTTACCCTTTGTTGTCGCATAATCTCTATGCGACCCTAGCGTTGCCAGTAATGAACATGTAATGAAAGCCCGGGGCATATTACTCCTAAGCCTCAGTAGTAAATAAAGATGCATTACATATTTGAGGGGCCCTATACAAGTTCAATTAATATAGTTAAAATCATAGTTATAAAATGTACAAGACCCATAATTGGCGGTCATGCTATCCCATGCAAACAACAAAAATAAATGTCTTGAAGGTCCTTACGAGAGGGAGTATCAACGCCCATTTTCATATACAAAGGGTTTTGATACTGTTAGCATTTCCTCACAAAGGGTCGAAGCCCTACAAATGAAAAATGGATGGATGGAATGGATGAAAAGACCATATAAAAGATAACGCACGCCACCAAACTACTTTCGCGGTTAATTTTCACTTGGATGGACAGCACACATTCCGACCAACAATAGGAGCTACCTGAACCATTAACCCAACCCACTTGTCTCCTTCAAATTTACAAACCATGCCCATAATATGCATAATCCAAGGAAAACAAGCAAACACAGACCAGTGTGTGGATGGACCATATGCAACAAAAGCTAAAGACGAATTGCACACAAAAATTCTCTCTACTCACAACTGGCAAAGCCTTTGCGAGCCTCAGTAGCAAGAAAGTACAAGGCCAGTTCATAAGAAAAATGTCCAAACCATTCTAAACTCTCTCAGGACGCTAATCAGTTTTTTTTACCATAGCTCTAGACGATAATACACTGCCACCACTACTTAAATATGGCTACCATGTCCATGTAGCATGACAATCTTCCTATCTTCTACAGCTCAATAGAAGTGCTTGTTCAGAACTACTAGCTTACCTGTTGCTGGTGGTTCCCATAAACAGGGTAGGTTCCATAAGCTGCATACACGGCCGGATCTTGAGGCTGGGCAGCATAACCATAGCCATCATAAACCTGCCCTCCATAGTAAGACCCATTCCATTGATTTGCAGCATCTGCCCTAGGCTGTTATTGACCAATTGGTAAAAAGAAGGAACAAGAAAAATCAGTGAAGGCAAAAAGACCGCATATTGAAATAACCAAGCACCCAAACAAGAGAGTTCTACAAGGTAAGCATTAATGGCATCGACCCTAGGATGCTAATTACCAGTTCAATAGAGAACAGGAAAATCAAAGGAGGCAAAACAACAACATATGGCAATAACCAAGTACCCAAACAAGAGTGTCCCACAAGCACATAGCAAGTACATTATAAACCAATAAGCTTCAGAACCCATAGTCCATGTGACCATCGCTGTCTGATGAAATGGTGTGCAGTGACAAAGGAGACAGGACCCACATTTTGTTTCTGGTGGATCACAATCTCTCTGTCACCATCCACCATCATTTCATTGGGCAGTCACGACCTAAACAGAGTAAGTTTATTCCCTAGTCCATTGGATTATAATATACTTTACCATCTCTCCCTACTTTATGTAAGTTCAAGAAACTAACTTATTACCTGCTTATTCCCGGGATTGCGACCCCAAGAAAGGCGAATTGTCACCTTCCCAATGACGGTGCCATTCAACCCTTGCAATGCCTCCTCAGCATTACTCCTGTGACGTTTTACAAAGTAAAATAGCAATATGGGCACAAAAGGAGAAAGAAGAGAGTGGGGGAGTGGGAGGGGATTAACACATGGACTAGATACGCACCTATTGGCGAATTGCACAAAGCCACACCCCTTATTAACTGGTATCTTTACTGAGGCAATATCACCATATTTAGAAAAAGCTTCTCTAAGATCGTCCTCAGTAACACTTGAGTCAAGTCCTCCAACAAATATCTACAATTGTAAACAAATTAATGAGAAAATAGTGCTGTGCATTGAACAACAGAGGATCAAGATTTAGACTCACTGTCGTGTTGTTTGAATCACCCTCGGACTGGAAGTTTTGACCATTGGATGGAAAGCCACCTATTTATACAAGAGTATAATTGAGTAATCTGATTTCCTTTTCCATGATAACTTAATAGAGCAATACACAAGAAAAGGAACAATAAATCAAGCAGACACTAAAGAATTATATAGATACAACATATTGTCAAACAAAAGAGTTCCATTATCAGAACAAAAGCATCACATATAGCATCAGTAAGCCTATAAACCGATCAGACCTGGATTTCACCAACCACAACCCAGACCTGATCAGCAGGTTCAAGGGCTAACCCGGACCACATCAAGTCTAGGTCAATCAGTCCTGGACCCAACAACGAGGATCCATGTAAAAATATAAAATAAAAGTTGTATATAAATTATATATAAAATATATTATATATATTTTATAATCTATAGTAAAAATCATATATATTTATAGCTAAATTAATGTGAATATCCATCAATTTTTGTGGTGTTTCAAAAATGTCCAAAATAGCCCAAGTTCGGAAATCCAAGTTCAAAATAGCAGTCTATTTATTTTATCGAGAGATTGGTTCCAGAAGTCGAGTTCCAAATCTTGTCATAAACCAACCAGTTTGGAGTTTCGAGTTCCGAAATGGGGATTTTTGACCGAATTATTGGTTCCGAACTGGGGACAATTAATTTTTAGATAAAAAAAAGGTTCAGAACTGAGTTCCAAATCGGTCTCTCACTCTCTAAGTTCCGCTAGTTCAAAAAAAAAATACAAGCGAGACTGTTTGAAACTCCAAGTTCAAGCCAGCTCATATTTTTGCTTTTTAGCAGCAATAGGTTCAAAAATTGAAGTTTCGGACAAGTTTGTTTAGAAAACAAGTCGATTCACAACTTCAAGTTCTGATCAATCTCTCAATAAAATAAAGAAACGCTGTGGTTCGAAACTTAGAGTTCTGAATTAGGGTTATTTTTTGGAAAAACCAAAAAACACAGAAAAGGAACATGAGCTTCAATTTCCCTCAATATGAAAATGCACATTCTAAAAAAACAAATTTATAAATATTACATTAATGTCCCTAAATAACAATAAAAATTATATAATAATATATAATATATAATATGAAATAATATATTAATAAATACTTAAAAATGCCCAAGAGCGAGTTTCTATAGTACCTTGCTCAAGGTTCGTCACCATCCAAATTCCATCAAACAGCAACTATCACCCGATAGTGCTTAAATTTTAATATTTTTATACAAAACAGATTTACTTAAATTTGGGGCAGGTGTATATCTAACCATCACACATTAAATAAAATGATAACAAAAATAATTATCAAAAATAAAATAACCAAAATACCTCATATATACTTATATGGTGTTTTAGTCATTCTTATTAATTCAATTGCTTTTTATAGTTTTTCAGGTGAGCCTCAAGGAGGCCCACACATCAAATTTTATAGCAGTTTGACTTGTAGAAAATTTATTAAAGTTCAAACAATATCAGACGGCTGTATCCGTCTAATGGGATTTGGACAACATGAGTCATGAGCAAAGTTCTATAAAAACTCGATCATGAGCGTGCGTGCGTGAGTGTGTGTGCGTGCCTAGGTGTACGTGTATTTGTAATATAAGTACACAATCAGATCATTTAGATTTAGTAAAAGGTCAGATTCGCACTTAAGCCAAAGATGTGAAATCAAGTACCTAAGGGTTTTAGTACAAGATCACAATCGTACTTAGTTGTTAGATGTAGAATCGAGAAGCTGGTTATGCACTACCAACAAAGCTCAAGGTTAAACAAGATTCTTCTTGAACTTTGTGACAACCCCAACCACCTCATTCCAAATCTGATGGCTAGGAATAATTATGACCTTGTACAATAGGAAAATATTTTGATAATACAGAATCCCATATAAATGTGTGTGTGTGAATAGGAAAAAGCTAAAAATATGTTGTCAACAATTGTTCAGGTCATGCTCCCAAACATCAAATCATGATCAGATGGTAGAAAATGCATGTTACTTTGTGAATTTCAATCTTTTATCTACAAATTGGATCGATATGAGATTTGAGGTTATGCTCCCAAACATCAAATCATGATCAGATGGTTGAAAGTGCATGTTACCATTTGAATTTCAATCTTTTATCTACAAATCAGATCAATATGAGATTTTAGGCATGGGTGCTTGCTTCAAATCGTAATGGATGCTTGACAAAATCTTGTGTTTGTCATTTTTCAAAACTTTAATTTCTTTGGTTCAAATCGTAACCCGCCATCAGCATCTATTTTAAAAATTTCTCCCTGTTTCCAAAATTTTCCTAAAAATGTTTCCGAAAACAAGGAGTTGGATAATAAGCCGCCCACAATGATAACACATCGGATCCTGCAAAATAAAAAGGATCAACCCTAAGTCCAAAAGAGGACTGAGCTAGAGAATGCTCGAAGAAGTTAAGCATATGTGAGAAAGAGGTCCAACCACACCTAAACCTCTCGCCCAAACATGCAACACTTTCAGCCTCGACCTTCAAAACTCTGACCTTCCAACGACACCGACCACTAAGCCTAGACCCTAGGAACATCAAGGGATATAAGACGACTTGGCATTTACTCGGGCGGAAACTTGCTCCGCCTTTTAACCTAAACCACTTTCAACTCTATTCTATTCATTTCAAAACACAATCTTCCTTGAAAATCTAACACCACAACCTTAGCCTGCAAATGGGGCCCGCAGTGATCGCCTCAACCGATGGGCTAAGTTAACCTTCAAGTCCCAGAGAGCACAGGCACCAAAGGCCAACTGATGCCAAACTTTCGAGCAACGATGCTATTTCGCACCCTCGCATGCAGCCTTTTGTTAACTATGTACTTCTCTGACTTTGTGGCTCAGATGTCTACGTCTTTGCCACTCATCTCCCTAAAGCATGCGACACGAGCGATAAAGAGGGGCAATTGTAGACACCCCATGTTTCAGCTGAGGAAATCCTAAGGAACCAAAAATCCTAATCTTCCTAGGATCTAGCTTAGACCCTCGTAAACTTAAATTTAGCCAAAACCCTAATTTATTTTTGCTACCAAAAACCATTTTTTCAAGCCTAACCCATACTAGGAACCACACAATTGTAATACACCCTAGTGCACCCTACTCCATGCTCCACTCCCCTTTTCTTTCTCTCTCATCATCACCCAATCTCCTCATATGCCAATCTCCTCATATGGGCCCCACTTTCTCTCTCTCTCAAAATAGGGCAGTGGGTATCCATCAAAATAGGGCAGTGGTCTGAAGTGGGCTTTGGGAGGGTAGAGTATGAGTCTGGGAAAGCATAATCCCATTGGGGAGATAGGCGATATCTGTCTAGTTTGGAGAGATTGGGAGCCACCAAGTGATACAACTAAGTAAATTGGGTATTGAGGAGAGGGATGTCTATCAAGTGGTTCCTAGAGATGACATCAGAGAAAGCCACCATACCTTGTGAGATCCTAGACTTAGAACTACACTCCAAGGACCACCTTGTGACATTAAAGTCCCCCCTTATACATCAGGTGGAGGGTGGTACCAGAGCTAACAGCTCGAGTTCCTCCCAAAAACTGTCTCAGAGGCCATTATAGTTGGGCCCACAGACAGACATGAACTTCCACTGAAAGCCATCAGTTTGTTTGGAGAGGACCAAAATGATGGAGAAGGTACCAATGTGGGAGAAGCTTATGGAGTGGGTGCAGGGGTCCCAAATGACCCAGATCCCACCCGAGGTCCCTATGGCCTCACGAGCAAGCCATTGTCTATGGGCGGGAGCCCCAAATTTGCCACACCAGCATGAGGAGGGAGGAAGGTAGTTTCTATCAAGACTAAGAGAGATGTGTGGTGTTTAGTGTAGAAGTCCTTCTCTGTCCCTCGTTTGACAGCGTCTCCGAGACCTCTGATATTCCAAGTTAAAATTTGCATAGGTACGAGGGTTGCGGGGAGGCATGCTTCTTGAGGAGCACCGGAGAGAGGGAGATGCAGAGGTAGGGGATGAAGTGGGAGTCGCCTTATCATAGTTGACACTGCATCTGGGATTCGAGAGTTCTCTACTTCCCTTCTTACTTACTTTAACTCTTGTTTCCGCGTCTGTTGTGCCAAATGCACGACGGGCCTGCTCCAATCCATCATAGTCATGGCAACACCATGTGCAGATTGCCTTGTGCCCTATCCAGGTTGTCCACAAAGGAGGAGTTGAACGAGGTGCCAGAAACCGAGAAAGAGCACGCCGCTGGGGTTGTAGAGTCAAAGCCAAGAAGAGGGGGGATGGTGGGTGATTCCTAGAGGCAGAAGAAGGATTTGAAGCAAGGAGTGACATGTGACGAGAGTTGCTGCAAGGTTGTACCAGGGGGGAACAATAGCAAGAATGGAGAGGGAAGAGGAGGACAGAGGGGAGGTGAGAGGACGAGGGATGGGAGAGAATGGGGAAGAAGAGCAAGCTGAGAAGAAAGGGAGGGAGGAACCAGTGAGAGGGTCAAAAAGAAAGGAGGAGAGGCCGTGGGGAAAAGGAAGCTGGCTGGAGGACAAGGAGGGAGAGGGGGAGGGGAGAAGGTGGAGTGACAGTGAAAGGAGAGGGCGGCGGATTAAGAGGAGAGAGAGGGTAAGGTAGAGGGTAAAGATGGGGATAGAAGATGTAAGGCAAGGGAAAGTAGTGAGAGGGAGAATGAGGGTTTGGGGATGCAGTAGACTAAGGGAGGAAAAGACTGATAGGGTGGCGAGGGAAGAGAACCGAGGAGAAAGCGAGGAGAAGCCATAGACGAGATGGCCAACGAGAAGGCAGGGCGGGGGAGCGAGCACGAAGCAAGTTGGTCTATCGTAACCCTTGGGTCAGATTGACGATCTTCTGTTGTGGAAACATCGCTGCTTGAGGTGGGATGCCGAGGGACAACGTCGGGGCCGCGAGGAGGGTTGCCGACATGGGAGGCTCCGAGAGCTGACTCAGAGGGAAGGAGTTGAGGAGGGGAATGAGAGAAAGGCCAACTTTCTCGGGTGGAGAAGGTACTGCTGAAGCTGTGGAAGCCGGCTGACATGGGGTTGGAGAGGACAAGAGGTTGAGAAAGGAAAGTTCTTGGGACACCAGAGATGGGGGAGAGATGTGGGGCATCAGTGGGGAGAAGAGGGAGGATAGAGAGAGACAGGCCAAGATGTGAGTTGGAGTCTGCTGGGAAGTTTCGAGAGGTAGGGAAGACAAATGACCGTGGGGTAGGGGGCGGTAGGGGTAGAAGGTTGTCCTAAAGGGGCACGTGTACAACAATCGGATAAGAGGCCCATACAATCATTGACGAAAAAGCAAGCCTCGTTTCTGTCCGGCTTGATAACCGAGTGTAGGGCAAAGAAAGACAATAGAGTGTCAGGGGAGTAATGAGGAGGAGGAAGGAAAGTCGTGTGGTTGTCTGAAGGTACATGTGGCACAAGGTAAGGCGGCTTCCCAGGCAGGAAATTTGAATCCGGCTTGGATCTAGGGGAAGCCAGTTGTGAGGGCTCAAGAGTAGAGGATGTGTGTCGAGAGGAAGAGGGGGCAGATGGACTCACTATTTTAAAAAGAAGGCCGCCCAGCGCCTGGACGGCCACCTAGGCGGTCCAGAAGGCCTGGGAGCATCGCCCAGGCCTAGGTGGCCAAACTAGGCGGACATACTTGAGCGCCCACCTAGGCGCCCCCTTGAACCCACCTAGACACCCGCTCGGGCAGACGCCCAGAGCTTGTGCCCGGCCCAAGGGTAAAAATGCAGCTCCTTAAGGGTATTTTTGGGTCATTTTTTTAATACTAAAGGGTAAAATTATGGGTTTTAGGTTCATTTGAAACCTAAAACCCATTAGAGGCTATTTTAGAGAGAAAAAACCCCAAAACAAAATTTTGTTTTACTAGGCACCCGCCTGGGCGGGCCGCATAGGCGCTGGCAGCCTGGACCCCCCCGACCACCTAGGTGCCGCCTAGCACTTTTTGAAACACTGGATGGACTGTAGATCACAGGAAGCGAGGCTTAGACCACATGGGAGGGTAGACAGGGCTCCAAATGAGGTTGTCGTGGTCCTGAAGGCTACTGCACACAATGGGAAACCTGATGCCCCAGCTTCGGGTTCCACGACTGGGTCGAGAGACCAAGGTCTAGTCATTCGATTGAGGTTTGACTGCCCCAACTCCAGGAACCAACTGGGCTGGGAAGTGGTAGGGTGGTGAAGGAAGATATGCCGGCACCCATGCCAAGTGGATGATGTAGCAGAGACCATCTATTTTGAGTCAAAGAAAAGGTAGGATGAGCCACGGATCGAAAACTTCAATGAGGGTCTGGATTGACCCAAGGGGGCGGTTGTAGGAAGACTTCCAGTGAACTGATATGAAGCCTCTACAAGTGTCCCCAATAATTTTAAAAATGTCCAAGTGTCAAGCATGTAGGGGGATATTGAAAGCCCTCAACCAAATCTTCTGTATAGTAACGGCAGCAAGGTCTTTGATCCACTTAACTATAGAGAGGGAAGCTCCTTTGAACTAAGCCGATGTTTCGTGAAGAGCTCTAGCCGCTGCGACCTCTGATGGGAAGGAAAACAGGATTTGCCCGCCTGAAAGTTAACAAAGTTCGGCCATGCCCCACAGGTTGTGTCCCCAACGTTCAATGCCTTTCACATCACATCTGGGAGGATGGAATTTACCAACCAAAGAGGACTGGAGTGATTGGGAGGAGACGAACTTGCCAAAGATGAGCACGAAGTTGGGAACATCAGCTACTGAGTGAGATGGGAGACAATGAAGGAGGCTGGTCAGCACCAAACTGAGGAGGGGTTCGAGCAAGGACGAGGTGGAGGGAGGTAAGTGGGGAGACGGGGTAGGGGAGGAGGGTTAGAGGCTGAAGGCCACATAAGAAATGGTAGAGGCGTGGGGAGGTGGCCGGAGTCATATTGTTTCATAACCATTTTGGATATTTTATGATTTGCCTTCAACTAATCTTATTAGATCTTACAACTGATGTCTGTGCTAGGAAACCGTTCCTTGCAAACTCAACTCATCACAAGGATAAATTTCTATTCACACAACGTATTGTAACATATCGCACTTGCCAATTGATATGACATGCACCTCCCACAACTCCTAAAGTAACAATTCCATGTTTAATAATGTAGAAGTAATGGGTTAATTTATTTGAATTCATCAAATAAAACCATCACCATATTCAATGAAGACCGACCTAAGCATCTATCCAGCTTGTCAACAATGACATATGTGACAAGCTTCATGTATGGAATGCATGAGAACAAAAGGTTGAAAGTTGGCATGCAACATAAACAAAGCAGACAGAAGTGAGATGCAACCTTAGTAGAACATCCATCAACTAACCGGTGCCCAAACATGCATAATACATGGACAAAAGGTTTGAAATACCGCTGATCCGGTTTGGAACTGCCCGATCTGAATCGGGAATCCTTGGGGGCGAACAGTTTCCCACTAAGTATCAGGAATCCACTAATTCCCCCCATGAGACAACTAGTTCTGATCTATTCTCTGAAAGAACATGCAATCAAAACTAGCTCTACTTTATCGTTTTTTATTTTTTTTATTTTTTAATGATAGGTTTTGATAAACTGCATCACCAATCCAGATCGCTGAATCCTAAACTGGATCAAAAATCCAGATGCGCGATTCGAGTCACATATCCCCACTTTAAAACCTTGCATGGACACGAAAACATAACCAAGTATATTTCCCCCTACAAAAAGAAAAGAATTGCCCAAGAAGATGCTTAGGAAGATTGCTTTTAATTTCAAAATGTATAAATGGAATTTGTTAAGTTAAAGTCTCATGTCCACATTTCAATGATTTATATTAAACATGGCCACATCCGACATGCACAAGATAGTTTTTATCTAGAATTTGGGTTCTAAATAAATTTCTATATGGTGAACCAAATAAAAACAATAAAAAAATATTTTGAACAAAAATGTTGACCAAAATACCCTTAAATTGTTTCAAGGGTATTTTGGTGAACTTTTTTGTTCAAACTAATTCTTTTACTATCTATATTTTATGTGCCATTTAAAAATACATCTACACCCCAAATTGCAAATAAATATTATTTTAAAATAAAAATAAAAAATAAAATATGAAACTCTTTTTGTGCCATTGGATGATACTAGGTTCAATCTAAATCATTTAAGGGTGCTTGTGCACCCTTCAAGCGTCCACATGACATGGATGCTATATTGTCCCAATTGTTAATTGTTAAAACTTATAACATTCCCAAATTTAGGGAAATTAAAAATTTTAAAAACAAAAATCTGTAGGGGGGGGTTTCCCTTATAAATACATGTATATATTAACAAATAAATATTAAGATTAAAAAATATATATCACCCACACTCCAGGTAACAATATAAACTACCAAACAATTCTGGCCAAACTTTCTCATTCAAATCACTGACTCGCCAAAGTGTGAGATAATATGACCAAAGAAAGTAGCAAACAGCATACTTCCACATGCTTAACACTCTTACATGGAAAAACTAATTACAAGTTACAGCGGACAAGGACAACAAAAAGCAAGATGGAAATAGCAAAAAAAAGTTCAGGAACATCAAACAGTAAAAATAAGTACCTTGAGATACATATTGTTGTTGAGTGGATTTCCTAGGGGTAGCGACCCCAATACGCATGGGCCTACTGGAACAGTAAAGTCCATTCATTTCAGTCATAGCTCGCAGCCTCTCACTATCATCACCAAATCGTACAAAACCATAGCCTTTTGAACGGCCAGTGTTGGCATCAAAGACAACCTTTGCGCCTTTTACGGATGAATATCTGCTTGCAAAAGTCTCTTGCAGTAAAGCATCAGTAACATCAGAAGCCAGATCACCAACAAATATAGAGTGATCTGAACCCATATCAGAACGTCGATCACCCATGCTAAATGTTGCCCAATTCAGTCGAAAGGCCTGATCTGTACTAGGCATCATACCACCGTTGTAATTTTGAAGAATTTTCTCAGCAGCTGCACGAGAAACAAACTCCACGAATCCATAACCTTCTGACTGGCCCGTTTGCTTATTCCGAATAACTTTTAGAGATACCACCTGAAAATTATTCGATTAAACAATAAATATATGTGAGAATCCGAATAACTTTTAGAGATACCACCTGTAAAAATTATTCAATTAAACAGTAAATATATGTGAAAAAATGGAATATACACAGTTAAGAATAGAGCCCTTGTAGTTAAGTGCATGGCGTATGTGTGCAATTCATTGTGAAAGCCTCTCAAGGCATAAGAGTATTTGTCTATCATCCTCAAATGTTAGAATTTTGAAAATTTCTCATGCATTAATGAGGATGTGGATGGATGATCAGAACATTTGCACCATGGAAATATAGAGCCCTTGAACAAAGGAACATACACAGTAAGAATAGAGCCCTTGCAGTTACGCGCATGATGTATGCGTCCAGTTCATTATGAAAGCATTTCATATTTTATGCATAAGAGTATGTCTTGCATCCTCAGATGTCAGAATTTTGAAAATTTATCATGCATTCATGTGGATGTGGAGGGATAATCTGAACATTTACAATATGGGAATACCTTGATATCAATTGGACAACATATCGTCAGAATCAGAGACCCATATCTTAGTTGTCTGCAGACTCAACAAGGCATCAGCATAGAACAACCTATCAAGGAAGACTAGGGCATCCAGAACATTCATGTAAGGAATTCAGAAACAGAGAATTGATCAAATCAAATCAGCTAACAAGTTTTTTTTTTCTTTTTTTTCCATAGTTCAGGTCCAACAATGTTTAGGCCCATAAGATATTGTAGCTAACAGGCAATCTCATGATCACTTGCAATGCAACAAATTAGCAAACATCTTTATTGTGATTAATTTGCATTCATATTGATTAGGTGAAGCACAATCTACCATTTCAGAAGCATGGTTTTCTGAAAGAATTGGCACTCAATTTGATAGAAATTACAATTTCTACATCTGTACTTAAGTAAAACCAGCACCCGACAAATCTCTACATTTAATCATTCTCTTTCCATGGAAGGATTTCAAAAAGACTAATGGATTAGTGCATAATTTGTTCATACCAAACACTTAATTTGAAGTGAAATTGGGTATGGTTCTTTCCATGAAAATTTCTGAGTCACCACTTTATTTTCTGTAAAATACTAAAATAAGTATTTTGAAAATATTACTAAAAATTTTTAAAATCTCCCCACTGTTATGGTAGTTGAGCATACTGAAGTTTTTCATGACTAAAACCAGTACCATAGCAATATTGATTTTGAAGAACACACCATATGGCCAACAGAAGAACTTTCCAGTCTCATTCCATGGATAAAGATGCGATCGTTAACACAATTTCTACTTAATGATGAGACCCAAGGCTACAAATACAAGTTGACAAATAGTTAAACCTAGTACTAAATCTCAATTATCTTGTAAGATAATTGATATAAAATACATTGATACCAAATCCACACAAGACACAAAGTTGGCCACCTATGCAAAAAGAAAATCAAACAACTCGAACAGGAGTCATGGTTATCAAAATCTATGGTGAACCTATGAGGACAGAAGAAACACCACATATGAGTTGCACATGTGGAAGGGCAATGTCACAAAGGCTGAAGGGCCTATTGACCCCATCAAGATATTGCCAATTATGGGCCAGGGATAAGCCATTAAGCAAAAAAAATGAGATGTTGATGGCATTGCACAAGGAACATGAGACACTATATACCTAGATCCTCTAAAGTTGCATTTCAGAGAAATAACTATAAAATAAATGAAATTTTTAGCACCTATAAGTACATCCTTCAAAGACATTGCTTACATTCTCCTTCAAAGGGGAGAAAAGCGGGAAGTCTATCCAATACAAGGCCTTCAGCCTTAACCTGAACACCCTTCCCGCCTAGCACTTCAAGAAGCAGTTTGTGTGCATGCAAAAGGATGAGGAAGAGGATGTGTTACCGTCGACAACCCCAAGTATTGGCAATTCAACAGACTAGGACACACTAAGCACCACCACGGGATGCTCTGGTCAGCCATTACTTCAACAACCACAAGCATCATGCCCATAGCAATATTACGTTAGGAACTCATCAAATTTCCTTGAACAAGTTTAAGAATTTCCATCAATGCTTAGCAAGTGAGATAGTGTCTCAAATTCAGGATGAAAATAAAAACTTTATTCTTCACAATTCTCCTCTCCAAGCAGTTGAATAGTTGAATCAGGGGCCTCAAATACTTATCCAAGCCCTGTTCACTTGAAAATCCTGTCCCTCGTGGAAGAATTCACAACTCTAGTTTGCAGTATTGGGCATGAGGATCTGTCACATTACCTTACCTTTATCTGAAATCTCACATACTCTAGGTGTTCCTCCCAAATACCAGTCTCCTCTCATACAACTAGAAACAGAACAAGTGGGTTGAAAATTTTCCCAAATCACTTTTATGCAAGACAAATGTGGCAAGAATCACAAGAGGTGTACATCCTTGAAGATCATCTCAAGCTCATGACCCAAAAAGCTATTGTCGAAAAAAACTTTTAACCAAAAAGAAAAACAAAAATATGTTCTTGCAATTAGGCCATCCATCAGAAAAGCTCCTTATTTCCATTTTTCACTTCTTGCGAGACTTGATAATACCATTCTTGAAAATTAGTATCCGAGTAATATCTCTGCTGTTTTGAGAGTCAAGTAATATCTCCTCTGTTAATGTTTGCTTTAATTCAGTATAACATTTGAGCGCAAGTAGCTGTTGTTTCCATGTTTGGCTATAAGTACATCGCTATATACTGGTTATTTCAGTAAGCTAACAGAAATTTATGGTACGGAATCAAGGGAAGGAGACATGCTTTAATTCATCATGACATTTGTGGGCAAGTAGTTGTTGTTTCCTTGTTTGGCTATAAGTACATTGCTTCCTTGTGTTCTAGAGATTTCAGCAAGCTAACAGAAATTTATGGTACAAAAACAAGGAAGAGACATCCTAGGCATTAAGCAGTAGCACAAAATGTTAATAGATCCAACATGATGCATAATTGATACTTTTTAAAAATGTAGTTGAGTTTGTTACTAGGATCATGCGCATGTACCAGTTTAAATATTACTTCTTCCTTAAATTTCATTTTCTACTATAACCTGTTGAGTTTAGCAAAGCCATCATGGAACAACATTTGTTGAAGTCCCTGCAAACCTTCAGATTTCACACTCCAGAAGAGGTGTACCAAATTGACCACGGTTGATATGACCAAATTGGCCATGAAAAGCTTCCTACAGACCTTCATTTTCCAGTGGACACTCAAGTAATGGTAATCTAAAAACAGAAGCACATAATGGATTCACTGATTCATAAATATTCTTCCCAAGTCATGTTCAGATCCCTCACCCCCCTCGCCCCTTCTCTGATCCCCCAATTGCCTTAAGAAAGGAGATACAACATCACTGTTCAGAACACTTTATAGCTTGCCTGATCAGACAATTAACATCATTTATGTGTCCTTCACTATCCCCCTTTGCAAATCCTAACAATTTTGTTAAAACTGTCACTCACGCTAAGCAGATAAATGCCATGCAATTAGAAGATATCAGCTCTTAAAAAATAAAACATCTCGACCATTGGGTGTAGGCAAGGGATCATTTATACAAGAAGAATGAGAAATCTATGAAGATGTGGAAGACAAGCTAGTGCAAAGACACAAGTCTATCAGATGAGGAAACATGGGGATTTGAGATGCAAGTTTGAACCTAGAGGGAGCAACTATATTTGCCTGTGTGGGCAAAGCAAAGCTATCAAATGTGACCACATAACGTTTGCATGACCCCATCAAAGTATATGTGCCCTTGGCACACTGCATATGCCCCCCTTGCAGGCTGGCATAATGTACCCACATAGGCGGATAGTGTTTTAAAACCCGGCAATTTCCAATCCAAATGGGACTCGGTCGGGACCAAACTAGTTCCGAGATGGTATGGGATCAGGCTCTGTTCGGCCCCTAAACCAAGAAGCAAATATTTCTTAGATTTCAAAGATTTTGTGGATTATTTGGGCAAAAGTTCGAGTTCATTCTGTGCTATGTTTTGAAGCAATTGGGGTGAAGGTTTACTATGTAATTGAGGATTTCTACGGGGACGAGATTAAAACCTAGAAATGGGAAATTTCTTTCTATTTTGGATTTGATAGAGGAACCAACATCAATTTTTGGGTAAGTTTGATTCTCACTACATTTTTATTGGAACAATGTCTTCATCTACTCCGAGTAACAAATATCTAACATTGAAATGTTCGAAACACAACAACCTAAAGGCTAGTTTGAATGTCAAATTAGAAAATATCATTATTCTAATAATGGAAGCTTTTCAAAAGCATAATAATAAAAAATTGAAATCTTTTTCTATTCTTACAAAGTTGTTTTAGTGTTCTAAAAGTATTTCTTTGATATCCCTCCGTACCCCATCGAAATCATCTCTTATCTCTCTCTCTCCTCCCCCCCCCCGGCCCCGGCGCAAAATAAAAATCTGAAACCCTTCTTTAAAGCCCAAATTCATAAAAAGAAACTTAAAATCAATCTACCCATCTATGGTTCAAGAACACCATTTCTCCACTTGGGGCTTTTCTTAATCTGTCCCATGGCTTTGGTTGTGGGCTCTCTGATTCTATCAATGTCATTTATCTTCACTCTCCATCAAAAAATTTCATGTCATGGCCACCAAGCCTACGACTGAATCAGTGTGCAAGTATAGGATGGTTTCTTTGCATTATTTGCTATTGGGTGAAGATTTATGAGGTTGGGTTTTATATTGAAGAATCTCGTAAAAGGGAAAGTTGTGAAGAACGTTACTTCAAATGATGCGATTTAAAGATGGTGTTGCTATTTTGAAGTTTTTCGCATGAAAGTTGCAAAGAAATCATCTAAGGAATTGCTTTGGAAACCAAAGGGTGGTTGAAGAGAAATGTGAGGAATGGCTTAATCAAGGGATTCCCTAGTAATGGAGATATCTAAATATAGAAAGTTTTAACCATCTAAGCTAAATTGCAAGGGATTGGCCTTTTTGTCAAGGAGTCATTGG